TTAACCCTCAAACAAATACTTGCCATCACTGACCCTCGAGCTCAAAGACCAATCTCGCCTGCCACAGAACCCAGAAGTGTGACTTCTGAAATCTTGACGGTACCCAATTAGAAAGGAAGAAGAGGCTGTGAACACTTTTGGAAATGAGATGAATGTATTTGAGGAGATGGCAGCTTAGTGGCAAAGGAGATTAGCAGTGATCACAGCAATGCTGTTGGTTTCAGATAGCACTAGCGAGCGTTGGAACCTCCCTCTGTTCACTGATTCATCTCTCCTTCAGCCACAGGCAGAGCACCGGAATAAGTACAGAGGGATGAGAAAGCTTTACTTCTCTGTCTTCTGCTTATTGATCAAAGGGCATGAAAAAACTGGGAAAAAGATACTGCAATAAGCTAAAAGGATTTTTTAAAAACTTTCTCCTGCACTGTTCCTAATATAATCTGCACTGCCTTTAGTCCTCCTTGTTACCAGCTCGACACAAACCTGTGAACTGCCTCCATCTTTGACATTTGACATGGCATCACTTAATTTGTCCCAGTAACTTTAAGTGTATTCAGTCTTTGTAGGAACAAGCTCTAGATGTCATTCGAAACTGTACACATCTCTTTGAAACAAAACTGTTTAGTGGTGTCGAGACACACTGTTAAAGAGAGACAGTCACTCTGCAGCCTCTGTTGTTGTTATTCTGTTGGTTTGAACTCACTGCTCAAGGTAAAATGAAAGCATCAGTGTTGCAAAGAAACCCTCTCTATATAATTTTTTGTTTGTTTGTTTGTTTTTTTTGCTAAATTGTATGCCAAGCAACCCACAGCTTCTTGTTAAGCTGATGAAATAAAATGTCATTTGCTCACCAGCTACATTCCTAAAATGTGCCTGAAGTGTGCCAGTGTTTACAAGCTCCGGTGCTCGCTTCTAGACTTTTTAAATTGATGTTCAAGTCCCCTTCCAGTCAAAAGTGTGTTTACCTTTTTTGTGGCTTTTCTCTGATGTTTGACCCTCATCTTACAGAATGATGCACCTGCAGAGTGCGATACAACTTTGACTGTTTTCACATTCATCTGCTGAAGAGGGAACCTTTCTCTGTGCTCATCTTAAGCCACATGGCGTGATTTGTGACATTTGTAAGCCAGTCATATACATACTATTATTCCAAGCACTATGATTATGTTTTTAAACATGTCAGAATTAAAGAATATGTTAAGTCAAAGTAAAATCTTAATTTGAGTCATTTTTGCCTAATGTTTAATTTATGGTTCATTCTGATTTGAATTCTAAAGGACGTTCTTTCCAGTGCATGTCTCTAACCCTCTTTAGATGATAATGAAAGCATGACTTCTGGAAATTGAGACAGAAGAGTTACAATTTGTCCTTCAGCTTACATCACATACAGTTAGAACTTAAAGAAAAACTCTGTGTTGCAGTGATCCAGTAATCCATCTGTCTGTTATTAAGGCTAAATATTTTGTCTTTTAAAAGGGAACAAGTTGCTATAGTCAGATGAAAACCTGCTATAATACAAATAAACTTATAAAAAGGAGAAATAATCAATTTTCTTTAATGTTAAGAGAAACTATACCAGTGTTTCAAGATTAAAAAACAATGAGTCCTGACAGATGGGTCTTAGACAAATAGAGATGGAATAGAAAGAAGACTTTTGGTTTATATTAACTCCTGATTGTCATTACTGCATAATAGGTTATTTTGAAAACAGTGAGAACCTTTAAACATTTCCTTACTGACACATCTGAAATTCCAAGGCACTGAACAATCCCGGCACTCAATAACAGACTTCTAATCTTTCAGGATGTCTCCTTTCATTTCAGTGACGTGATAAATGCTGCAGAAAAGTTCAGCTGCTGTGTCTCTTCAGCCGCGTCAGATGCTTGACACTGTGTCTTCATTTGAGTAAAAAGTCACCGTAAAGCCAGATTCTCAAACTCACCCTTTTTACCACTGGAGCAGATTCTTCTCAAATGTCACCATGTAAATGTTTATGTCTACATAATGATATGAGTCAGTGTGCGCCTGTGTGATTTTACATGTCTGTGTCTTGCTCTAACAAGGCGAGACAGCGGCAGCATACTGGGTGTCTGATTGTTGTCCGGTTTGCGAGGAGTGGTGAGCTGTGTGAACTCTGGTGCTCTCTGACTGCTGCATTTTCATGGAAAGCATCTCTTTGGGGGCCTGCAGATTTTCAATACGCTCATTTACACATCAAAACAGCAGAGGAAAGGGATAGTGCTCAATGGGGGGGTGGAGGCCTGCAGAAGGAGGGAGGGCAGAGTAATGAAGGATGCTTTATTTTCTCTTTTTTCCCCCCTCAGGGCTGAGGAAGGGTTTAAGTCTATGAGGGAGGCACCCTGATGACATAATGATTGCCTTTAATCAGACCCATGACCAGATGGAGGGATTTCTCCCCTAGCAGACAAAAACATGGTGTCAGGGGCTAAAGTGGGATAACCGCTGAGGTGTTTTGACCAAAAAACAAATGATACAAATCCTGCAAGGTACTGCTTTAGAATCACTAAATGTACTGTTAGACTCACAGTGGATGTGAGGAAATATTCCTGAGAAACCTATAAAGTGTTGCCTTTTCTGGGAGTAGTCTCATATTTGGCCCAGACAAAGTAGCTGCTCAGTGCGACTGACTCTGACACTATTTAACCTCCAGAGCCAGAGGAGAAGAAAAACAGTGTGAAGGCTCAGCCAAACTAAATCTTTCAAGCGAGACCGAGCTTCCTTACTCCTGAAATTGGACATTACTGGAAGGTGGGGTGGGGTCTTCTTCAGAGCACACTTGCTGCTGATTGGCTGGCGCAGTGCCAGTACTTCAGACCTCAGGTGTGTGTGTGTGTGTGTGTGTGTGTGTGAAGGGAAGGTGTTCCCGGCAGCCTCATCTCTGGCGCCAAAAGAACCACAGCTCAAACAAACTGTTTTTGGAATGAACTGCTCTTTCTTGCCTCTATCTGAAGCACTGTGCTGTGTTACTCCTTTTTCCTGCACAAAAGAGAGACAAGAGCTAAAAATAGCTGCCAGTGACCTGGAAATGTAGCGATTGAATCCATTTATGTGAGAAAAGAAACATCAAAGACATCCTGTTGCTGCTGTGTCAAGTCATTTATGTTGACCTTTGTGATTTTTTTTAAAGCATGCCTTAGTCATATTCAGCAAGAAATGGAAATAAAAAAAGAGAAATGCTGAAAAGGGGAAAAAGTTTCAACAGAACTTTGCTGCAGAAGCCAAACTTGCCCCCTGTCCTTAAACATCTGCAGCTACCTCCTTCCTATCTAATCGGCACAGCTCAGCGCAGGTGGGACAAGCTGGTTTGTGTCTCACACAGCAAGTGTTTGGCCTCTCTGGGTTGTGTCACTGGAGTGCAGACCGGGGAGGAAGCACGTGCCCCTGTTCAGGCGTCCATGAACTGGAACATGTGGCTGAAACACCACTGGCTGAGTCTCCAAGCAAAACAGCCCCTTTTTAATAGTTAAATGTGATCCACAGAGTGTCAGAGTCCAGGACTCGCAGCGCTTGCCTGCCAAGCCATGGACAATGTCTACAGTGGCTGAGTAAAGAAAACAAAAAGGGGAGGATGTTAACCCACATCTTGTTCTGCAGAGGGAAGAAATAAGTAATTGAAGTTAACTCAGGCATTGCACTCAAACACACAACATTGCACCGAGTGGAAACGTGGTTAATTTGCTACACAGACATAATGTATCTTTGATTTAGATTTGTGTATTTAGTGAATAAATACTAACATGTGCGTGGAGCACGATGCAGCACATGGATCTTACTTTAACTCTGCAGTGGTGGAGAAATGAAAGCGAAGCAACTTAATAACCTCTGGAGATGAGTGAGCACACGCCTGGTTCGCACTAATGTTAATGAAAACAAGCTCCTGGTCGTCACAGTTTTTTTCCGTACTATCCCTCCCATGTGTTGCTGCTGGTGACAGCACACAGTCACACACAGGCATAATAAACAATCATTTCCACCACTGTCAAACTTTGTTATTTCCACCATGTTTTGCAGTGGAACGACTTGTGTGTGGCAGCAATTTGCATCGGCACTTAAACAGTTAAAGTCCTGTAATCTAAAAGCTATTTACTTTCACTTTTTATCCACTCTCAGAGAACATCACAACTCTTGTGCTTAATAAAATGGACTTTATTACTGAAATGCCATGCATACATACTTCTTCTGTGAATCGGTCCTTGACTATTTTTACCTCCTGGTGATTTTGGAAGAATTAAATGTGCATTGTTTCTTTAGCCAAACAAAATGCTTTGTGCTATATTCAATTCATACATTTAAACCTGGATCGTTTGTGTAATAGAATTTCCCTAATTCATACCAAAATGCTCCAAGAGCCACAAACCGCAGAGGAATTTAAATATTAAGTTAATAACCCATCTACTCATTGAACCGCAGTTTTGACAGCTTATGCTAAACTTTCAGTCTGTCAGTGAAAGCATGCAATAAGGCTGAAATCCACTCCAGATTTGCCCTCTCAAATCAAAGTGCTGAGCATTTGCTCAGGGATCAAATGGAGCAGCGAGAGGGCAACAACAGTGATCTGTGGAAGGATTAAAACAGCCATTAATTAAATATATTCCCCCGCAAACCTCCCTGCATTTTTAAGACCATGATGCAAACATTAAGACTAGCCACGGTTCACCACTACTCATCAGTGATTCTCTTTGAGGATTATCATCGGGGACGCCTGTGGGATGTGGCGTGCACTTGGAAGACAACACACTTGGTGGGAAGTCCTGCTGTACAAAATAAAAGTGTGAATCCCAGGAGAAGAATGGCAGGAAGATTCAGGCTGAAATGAACAACCCTTTGTGACAATCAAATCTCAAACTGTTTGAAACTGTTAAAATGGTTAAATATTCATTAAAAGCCAGTGCGAGACAGCTTCCAAAATGATGACAATAACACCAGGCAGCCAGGAAGTTGAACATGAATTCCACAAATTTATTTTCCAAAAGGCCAGAACCAGTTCTTATAAAAGGCACTTCATTTCCCTTGACCTTTAACAAATGCATTGAAACAAAAAGAGCTAAGGTGAACTTTAAATTAAATATATTTACAATAAATAGAACATTTATACAGATTTATACAGTTAATCATGCCTCTTTTCCAGGAGGAGAACAGACTAATATTTCCCAAGATGCCTCCTCATCCACTCTTTTTTGTTTGTTTGTTTGCTTTTTGCTTTGCAACAGTGGACATGTCTACTACACAGAACACTATGAACAGAAAAGCACGAGTAACAATACTGAACATTTATGCATTGAACACTGTTTATAGATAGTGATGCCTGTACCTGTGTGTCCCTTGGCAGCAGCAGAGCAGAAACTGACAGTTTAATTCAAACACTCATCTTCTTTTAAAGTCTGTAGCAGCTCCTTAGACAGGGCATAGGTGTACATGTGGGTGTTTGTGAGTGCATGTGATTGCATTTGGCAGTGTGAGTGCATGTGCTCAGACATGTGTGGGGTTGTCTGAGTGCAGCTCAGTCTTGGCCATGTGCAGAACCACAGCGGGAGATTTGTAGTGGCAGTGCGTGCTGCTGCAGCTGATGCCACTGCAGGGTTTCCTGCTACTAGTCCTGTCAGTCAGCTTCCTGCTGCACAGGCCCTGCCAGGTCTGCAGGGTCTTAGAGCTCCACACCCAAACCCCGCTGGTGATGCCGACCACCAGCGACATGAAGATCTTCAGCATGAACACGGCCACGGTGGGCACAGATGTCTGCAGGGAGCAGTCGCCGCTGTGACTGCTGAAGGAGCCGCACTTCATCTGCAGCCCCCTCAACTTCCAGTAGTCCATGTTGAGCCTCTCGTAGAAGTAGCAGACTATGACGCAGGTGGCCGGTACAGTGTAGAGGATGGAGTAGATGCCGATTTTCACCATGAGCTTCTCCAGCTTTTCCGTGTTGGTGCCCTCTGTCTTCATCACTTTGCGGATGTGGAAGAGAGCCACGAAGCCCGTGAGGATGAAGGAGGTGCCGATGATCAGGTAGCAGGAGAGGGGGATGAGGACAAAGCCAGTGAGCGCCCCAGAGTCCATGCTTCCCACATAACACAACCCTGTCAGTTCATCTCCAGCCACCTTCCTCATCGTGAGGATGATGATGGTCTTCAGGGCAGGGATGCCCCAAGCAGCCATGTGGAAGTAGTTGCTGTGGGCTTCAATAGCCTCATGGCCCCACTTCTTCCCTGCAGCCAGGAACCAGGTCAGGGTGAGGATGACCCACCAGATAGAAGAGGCCATACCAAAGTAGTAAAGGATGAGGAAGACGATGGTGCAGCCGGTGGACTCCAGCCCTTCCTGGATGATGTACAGCTCACCGTGCTCACGGTCGCAGGCGATGTTCTCTGCTCCAGCCACAGAGCGGATGATGAAGGCCACAGAGTAAACGTTGTAGCACATAGAAAGGAAGATGATGGGCCGCTCAGGGTATTGGAAACGATGAGGCTCCAGGAGGAAGGTCAGGACGGTGAAGGCAGTGGAGACAAAGCACAGGATGGACCACAATGTCATCCAAATAAAGGCAAAGTCCTTGTCCTGTCTGGACCAGAAGACGTCTACAGCTGGAGAGCAGCGTGGCGCACATGACTGGCTCTTCTCCACAAACTGGAACTTGTCTGGGTTCTCACAAGAGCCTACGCTGCCCGGTGAGCGGCCGCCGTTGGCACCCGGCTGCCTGGGCCGAGGGGGCACTGGAAGCATGCCTTCACCTTTCTTACCCTCCACCCTGGTTTCGTTCTCGGGGGCCTCCATGCACAGAGCATTGGGGTCGTTTCTGGTGGGCAGCTTGGAGCAGTCCAGCGAGTCCGGCCAGGTGTAGCTGAACTTCTTCATGATGGGGGCACACCTCTCCCTGGCCTGCTCGCACATGGGTCTACAGGCGGGGATGGAGGTCGACACTTTGTCCGTGCACATGGGGGCGTAGAGGGAGCAGAGGAAGAAACGGAGGTGCACGTCACAGCCGTAAGCCACCAGTGGGGCAAACTCGTTCAGCTTTATGGCAGCCTCGTTCTGGTCGTCGTGGTCCATGAAATTGGGCATGCGGGTCAGGTTGTATCCGATCCCCTGGCACATGGGGATCACGATGGGCTCGCACTTGGCTGGTCTGCCTCGCTCCAGATCGTAGGAGTCTATCTCAAAGCTGAAGCCTGAAATCACCAGCAGGCACCACAGAAGAATCGCCACTTTTAACGGACAACCATCCATGCTCATTTTTGCTAGTGAAAAACTGAGTTGTGTGTTTTAAAACCGATGTTAAAGACAGAGATATCCCCGCTACTTCCCCATGGCGAGGGCAGGTCCACAACACTCCAAACAGCCGCGCACACAAAGTAGCGCTTTAATTATTTAGTGTTGCATTAAGACGATTAATCCCAGAGACAGTCCAGATAAAGGTCCGTAACTGAAACACGACAGTAGGAAACTTCGACAAACAACGGAGGAAAATCATTCAAATCAAACACGGACAGTTCAGTGTCAATCCTCACACCGACCGGTAAGAACCGCAGATATCAAAGCGGCAGTTTGTGCCGTTTGTAGCTGCCGGCCCGGGTCCGTCTGTCGGCTCCGGGCGAGCGTCCTCCGCTTTCAGGCTCGACACTGAAGTTTGAGAGCCGCTCAGTGGGACTTCAGTGAGGGAGAGACGGAGAGGCGCAGGGGGTGGGCGCTGCGCGACGCTCACATTTCACCCGGAGCACCACACAAGGCACATTACCAGACAGATGCTGGAGGGTGGTCAAATACTTCGACATCTCTGCTCTGAATAGTTCTACTGAAAGTAGCAGTGCTAAAAAGCCTACCTTCATTAATTAGGCACATAAAGTCAAACCACAGACCTTCATACTTTAACTCCACAGTTCAGAGTATTGTGTTGTGGTCCGTTACGTTTTTTGACAGCTAGTTACTTCACAAATTAATTCTACACAAAGAGTTTAAAAAGTAGTTACAACTGGCTCCGTTTCGACCAAATAGAATAGTAAAATGTTCTTTAATTCTTGATGCTTATAATTCAGTTATATGGTCTAATAGTTTAACACATAGATCACATCTCTCTGCATAATGAATGTTTACTTTTTGGTACTTTTTCTAATACATTTATGTTTAAATATCATTTTGAATGCAAGACTCTTACTTGTTCTTTTTTTTTTATTGTGTGGTATTTCCTCCTTTACTCAGCTAAGGCATTTGAATAATTTACTTCCTTCAGGTCAGCTCCTTTTTTGCCCCCTAGCTTTGTTTTACTCACACCTTTTACTTAAGTAAAGTTTAAATAAAAATGCTAGTAAAAGTCACATATATAAATTATACCTTAGCATAAGATGTGCCAGATTAACCTGCTACATGGACAGGGGCGGCTCTAGAAAATTTTGGAAGGGGTGGCCAGGCTGGGGCACAGACTCAGTGAGGGGTGGCACATTTGAAATACATGTAAAAAGGAAATTAAACCCCTAGTTCTGTGAAATGATAAACCAGCCACTATTAACAATCAAATTGTTTATTCTGTGTAAAAATGAGACACAAATATTGCTTTCATTACCTAACTTTGGCTGCACCCTTTTTTTTATTATTATTACTAAGGAATTAATGCATCAGTGAAGTGTCATATTAATGTACAAAATAACGATGAACTATTAGGGTCAGAAATATCATTTCCTTCTGAAATACAGTGACGCACTAGTAAAAAGTATTATATATTGGTAATATTGTAAATAAAACATGTAGCTGCAGCTGTAATGAATGTATTTGTAATATTTCTCCCTAAAATACAGTGGAATAAATAATATAAACTGGCATAAAATGGAAACTCTCACACAAATTACAAGTACCTGAGTTGGACTTAAGTAGAGCACTTTGGTAAATATATTTACTCACTATTTTTAGTTACTTTGCACCATTCCTGGTTGATAATGCAAAACAAAGAGTCATGTTAACCACCAAATAGGGCTGAGGCAGTTAGTATCCTTAATTAAGTAATTACAAGGACTAAAGAAGAAAATTTAAAAAGCATGGCAACTTTTCCCTCTATGTCCATATCGAGAAGTCTGCCACTACTGGTCAAAGTCAAACACTGAGTAGCTTTTGTTTTTCCACTATGTTTGCAGAAACGTAGTAGAAACGTGCTTCTCTGGTAACATGAGACTCCCAGTGGCATTTTAATGATCCTGACTCATAATTACTCTGTCACCATTTCTGCTAAGGTTTTCATGCAATACAATGTGACGTTTTATTGAGTCATCAGGTCAGTTCTCTTTTCAAAACAAAGCACGCCTGCAGCTGCTAGGGGTTCCACTGCCTTGCTAAAAGGCACTTCAGAGGGAGCAGGTGTTTGAATGAGGATCAGTTGAAGGACAGTTTTTCTAAAAACACAAAGAAACATATATTGTACACAATGAATCCATAAATACGATGACTTGAATTGGTATGATAGGAAAAAGATAAAAGTGGTGGATAGAATCAGGCGTAACATGCAACAAATGAGTGCACCAGTGACTGTGGCGAGCAGAGGGTTATTGTTTCCATCTAGTGGCTGGATGAGGGGAGCCTGCAGCTCCTCAGCTGTCGCACTCAACATCTGATCTGTTCTCAAACGGGCGGAACTTTGGCCTCTGGCCCTGCAGGACTAAAATGACTGTCAACTGCATAGTGTCTCTATTAGCCCCTGTGTTGAAATTCTGTTGGCTGAAGGCACTTTGCACTTGTCTGGCCTGAGAACAGCTTGTTTTTTATAACATTTAAAGAATAAGGTTAGTCATTTTCCATATTAAGAGTATTTTAAACACTCCCCATACAGAGACTAAAACCGACAATGATTTGCCGCTACTCACAATTCATGTCTGTCAGTTTTCCAGAACTGGATTAGCTTATTTGTCAGTGCCTTAGACTTCCATTGACGTTCAAAAATGATTAAAAACACATCAGGGAAACACACAGCTGCACTGAGTGACATGTTTCTACATTAAAAAACACCAGACCCTGATTTTTTTTTATTTTTATTTTGCCCCAAAGGCTCAGAACAGCCACCGCTTTTTACAGCATCGGAAGTCAGTAAGAGTCAAAGGCCCATGCAAAAGATCTCTGGATATTCTGAACAAATATTAGGCTCTTGTGTTTTGTAATGCAAAAACATGTCACCCAGTGCAGCGATGTGTTTTCCTAATGTGTTTTTAATCATTTTTGAAGATCAAGTGTAGGTCTAAGGCACTGACAAATAAGTTAATCCAGGACTGACAAACTGACAGACATTAACCATGAGTAGGAGCAAATCATTGGGGACTGTTTAAAATACTGTTAATATAGAAAAGGAGGGACTTTATCCTTTACAGCATTTAGATCACTGCTGACATTACATTGTATGCTGAAAAATAAGCATGATGCTGTGGCCTCTTGCCAAGTGTTAAATGAGATGATGGATGCCACTCTTGTCTCTGCCAGCTGCTGCTATCTTACTTAGCTGAACATGTGGAAATAGCAAGACTGGTAGAGGGTAAATAATCTACTATACCAACACCACAAAGCTCCCTAAATTTCATATTTTATTTTGTGTAAAGTGTAAACTAAGATAGTCAGTAGCCTTTTAAGACTATATGACTAGCTCCTAATACATATTAAGCAAACAAAATATAATTAGTTAATTAGAGCTATAGCTGGAGAGGCAGTGCTAACCGTTTCCCTCTGTTTCCAGAGTTTCTGCTAAGCTAACTGGCTGTCAGCTCTAGCTTCATATTTAATGGGCAGATATCAGTGATGTTGGCCCTCTCATACTCTCAACAAGAAAGTGAAATTTTCCCCAAATGACAACCTATTATTTTAAGATATCCCACAATATTTTGACCTTGTCCAATGAGGTGTGAAACTACTGCTGCTGCTTAAATACTGCACTTTGTATTAGCAGACTATAAATTTACCTCTGCCTTATGAAAGGAAATCTCTTCTTATGCTTTCTAGATGTCAAATTGAGCCAGATGAAGGCTGTGCATGCATCTTTATCAGATCTGGCATCAGGTCGAAGGAAAAAAGCCTCCAACTTCAAATTAAGCCTGATCAAGCGGGGGGAAATACATTCCAGACTCAGAGATGATATCGTATTGTACGTCAGTGCTGAGGCTTTTGGTGAATTAAATAGAAACGCTTTGACTGAAGTTCCATTACTGCTCAACAGCCTCTCCACTTTAATGTTTTTAAGTTCACACTTCAAAGACAAGGGGTGATTGGAGAAGGCCTGGAGAAGCCCGAGTGTGCCCTTAGAAGGCCTCAGATTTTTATCAGAGAGATATGGCTCTCCAAGGTAAGCAGCACATATCAGGCTGCATTACTGGTCAAGGTACAAAGCCTCTTAAGGTGGGGAGTACTGGTGGATCAAGGTTTGACAGTCAAAACAGTCTGGATTATAATGAAATGGCCCTCAAGCTGTATTGGGGAGGGTTGAACTAAGAACAATAATGCAGCAAACAGATTTAAAGTAATGTGGCTGTAACATCTAGTTTACACCGATGAGCCATAACATTATGACCACTGACATTTGAAATGAATAACACTGAATATATCATTACAGTGACACCTGTCAGTGTGTGGGCTATATTAAGCAGAGGTGAACATTCAGCCCACAAAGCTGATGTGTTGGAAGCAGGAAAAGTAGACAAGCAAAAGGACCTGAGCGACTTTGACAAGGACCAAACTGTGATGGCTGATGATTGGGTTAGACCATCTCCCAGACTGCAGGTCTTGTTTAGTGTTCCTGGTCTGCAGTGGTTAGTACCTACCTACAGTGTCTAAGGAAGGACAAACAGTGAACTGGTGATAGGGTCATGGATACCCAAGGCTCACTGATGATGATGTTGACCTGCTGTCTGCTGTAGATTAAACTTTTAAATTTCATTTATCCTTTTCAAAAGATTCCATTTTGCCTGACCCATCTGGTTTATCCACCTCACAGTCCTTGGGTTGAAAACCGCTGGCCTATAGTATGAGAATGCTAATGATATTCTACCCCATCAAGAAAACAAATGTTTTTCAAAATGTGAACTTCTATCGAGAAATTTGGAAGCAAGTGTAAACAGCTAACCGGGTTCTGTTTGTCATTCCAAAGGTATCAAAAGCCACCAACCAGCACCTTTAAGCTTGAAAATCAAAACATTATAGTTCAGAAAGGTTCTTTGCCAGACAAACAAATCGTCCGCTCATATTCCCCCGTACATTTTGCTAATCTTGTTACTTTTGGACCGAACCAGGCTAGTTGTTTTCCTCTTTTCCAGTTGTAATGCCAAACTAAGCTAAGCCGTGGCTGGCTATAGTTTCATATTGATCTTCTCATTTAACTCTTGGCACAACAGCAAATAAACATTCTGTAGTTTCCAAAATGTCAAAAATAGTGCATTAATTCATTGTGATACCACTTGATTTACGACTGAGTACAATGAGTCTGATTCTCCTCTGCGTTCCTGGGGCTACATCCATAAAGAATAAATAGCGCTGTTCTGCTGAGTAGTTAGGAGACACAAGGTCTAACCGCACCGCTGCTCTGTGTCCTGGGCTCTA